CTGGCAATGAGCATGTTCTTGTGAAAGAGGCGTGGTTGTTAATTACGAGCAACATCATCAGAGCCATAAATGAAGTATTTCAAATGATTTTAAATTAAATGGTAAAACTAATGTCCTGCAGGAATGTTTTGTTTTGGGGACAGCAAAATGTCCAATACATTCTCACTCTAACCTTGTCACATATTGACATTAGGTCATGGACTTTCCATGTCCACAGGCAACGTGCAAGGTACCCTGGGTACTTTGGTTGTTGACGTTCTGGGACACGGTGTCAAGTTCTGCCTGTTACATGCATTGTCTTCTTTCAAAATACACTTCTTTTTTCACAGGACATTTATGTTTACATTCACTCACTTTCAAAATAAATACACTATGTCCGTACAACACCACAAATTGACGTTTTTGTCCTTCAACAACAAACACACATGGTTGGGTTTAGGCAACAAAAAACACACGGTTGGGTTTAGGAAAAAAATAACAGGGTTAGGCTTTAAAATGCGAACGCCACTCTTTTGGGTGAAAGTCGGTGTTTGTTGGACCCATCCACCACCCCTCCTGCCCGCCCTAGTTGGACTTTTGCCACCTTAACTTTTGCCTTGTTCTGCTGCGTTTCCCCATTACGCCCTCGGGTGCCATTGAACTATAATGACAACCAGTTCTGTATCGTGCCGATGTTAAAGGACACCCTTTTTTGTTGGTTTCTGATGCTGCAAGTCACTGCCCAAGCACCGGATTTTGACGACTTTGGAGTGAAACCGGGCTCAAACGTCATAGTCATCAGGATAAAAGGCTTAAAATATGTGTAGGTATTAACATATATATGAATGAAGTATAGAGTGAGGATTTCTTGCTATTTTGCTGGATGCTAAGCAAACTACTCTGAATCTATCACATTAGAACACTTTAAAGTGCCAGACAGTTTCTGCTACCAAAGTAAAGAGTGAAAAAGTGGTTGTTGACTGATGAGTTTTATCTGACTGCAGTGTTGCATTTATAAAAACAGAAGCCAATTAACAGTGTGTTAATAACTTTACTAATGAACAACAATATCTGTTTTTTTCATAACAGGTGTCTCGTGTTATTCTGAGCTGCAGTGATGGAATTAGAGTGTTAAATCAGCTATCACCCAGGGGGGAAAAACAAAAGTAAACTGCAGCTAAAATCATCATTATGTGTTTAGTCTTGTTAACAATCTTTTCCATTCTTAAAAGAAAATTAACTGCCTGGAACAATAAAATGATTCTACTAATCTATAAAAATATACATTATTTTTATCTGTCACTGAGGACTTTTGTCTATATCAGGATCGTTTTTTTCCCAGTTTTCTTAATTGGTCTGTGGTTGGGGTGCTGACAAGTTGTGATCCTGCTCTGGAGCAGGTTACCACAGTGATTTATCCCAGTAAAAAAGTGAGCCAGCTTCATAGTTCTGAAAATCTGGGGTTAACCCTGAAGTACCTCAATATCCAAAATCCTATTTCGTAGTACAGGCCTCTGGTGTCATTCCTCAGATTACCAGTCCAGATACACTTTACAAGTTAGTACGAGATGCATATGAAGTATTCATTTAGTGCTGCTGTCACATCAGAGATTCCTCTTGAACAATAATCTGGTCCATGCAAAGAGTTTTAGACATTTCATTGCCAGATTTCCATTTGACTTACTGTTGAAGTTTGTCATCTCCTGGTGTTTCATCACAATATGCTTGGTTACTGCCTGACCATTTCATTAGAGGCACCATGAGAACAACATGTAGAGAAAGACATGCTCCCAGGAGAATGTACCCTTCACATTTTGGACACTAAATTTTTCTGGCCACGTGGCTTTTCCTTGGGACAAAATGAAAATATTTTGGTTAGACTTAAAGAACTGCAAAATTTCCAGTATCATGACCAGCACTTCTGTATTTTGTGATGTGATGAATGTTGTAGTAGCATCATCAAAGAGTAACCAAAAGCTGCTTTTTTGTTGTTTTCTGGGATATTTATTGTTATATTGTTTTCCATACAATCATCAGATGTGTCCTGACTGTAATTGCAGGTCAAAAATAATTCAGCATTTACACTTGCTGTGAGTTTCATCATCTGCCGAGGCTCTGTTCAATAGGTCCCCTCAGAATAAATGACAACAAAGCAATGGGCAATTATAAAAGAAAAATTGGTTTGTAAGATAACATCAAGTTGACTGTGAAAGGGAAGGAAACTCACTGTATTTTCTCATAGGAATAGAAGGGGAGTACGGGGAGTTGGGGAAAGAAAAGTGAATGCCTGAGAGGTCATCATTTTCTTTACCAAGACAAAGTTCATGGCAATGCTATTACACAAGTTCTTGTTCATCATCAGCAGCACTATTCCTCTGCAGAAATAGCTCAGTGATTTAGATTCTGTAAGAAAACACTGAGGTCCTCTCTGCTTTGTTCTTCATCTCCACCAATCCCAAACACTTATGCTGTTGTCCCTCTGTTGGATGATCTGCTTATTGACCTTGCAAGAGCTTTACAGGGAACACAAAAATCACAGAAACACAAAGTGACTGCTCGGAGCAAGGTTAGGGCAATGATTTCATGGTGCGGTTTTAGCTCAGAAGTCCCCTTCTTTGCATAGTAATTGTGCTGTGAAAAGTCATAGCTTTCCTCATGATGATTACACAGAATGAATTAAACATGCAGGTGTTTGTAATTCATGACAATAGATATCTCTTCATTAAGTGAAATAGAGAGCAGGGTGTCACAGAATGTCTTTCAAAGCAGAAGGTTGAGGGAGCACTTTGACAGGTGCACATTTTTTACCCCAGACACATGAAACATGATCTAAAGGAATGTGATATCTTAATCAATTTTAATGAAGGCAAATTGCATATTGTTGACAGTTTGGCATAACTAATGAATGCTGAATTTCACTCAGAATCGTCAGGTTGTTTGAAGGTGGTATAACTGACACCATGTGGGATATAAAGAAACAACTGTGCTCAAGAAAATCAAATTATATTTGATTTTGTTGGCCACGTATCGGATCTCAATAAATGGCAATGGGGCATTTCTGTTGCAGTCATATTATAAATTATACTCACTGGCCACTTTATTAGGTACACCTGTTCAACTGCCTGTTAAGGCTAATAGCTGATCAGCTAATCACATGGCATCACCTCAATGCATGTAGGCATGTAGACATAGCCAAGACGAGCTGCTGAAGTTCAAACTGAGCACCAGAATGAGGAAGAAAGGTGATTAAGTGACTCTGAATGTGGCATGGTTGTTGGTGCCAGAAGGGATGGTCTGAGTATTTCAGAAACTGCTTATCTGCTGGGATTTTCATGCACAACCATCTCTAGGGTTTACAGAGGATCGTCCAAAAAACAGAAGATATCCACTGAGCAGCAGTTCTCTGGATGCAAATGCTTTGTTGATGCCAGAGGTCAGAGGAGAATGGCCAGACTGGTACAAGATGATAGAAAGGCAACAGTAACTCAAATAAAAACTCGTTACAACCAACCAAGGTATGCAAAGGATCATCTCTGAACCAACAACACGTCTAACCTTGAAGCAGATGGACTAAAGCAGCAGAAGACCACCGCAGGTGCCACTCCTGTCAACTAAGAACAGGAAACTGAGGCTGTGATTCATACAGGCTCACCAAAATTGGACAATAGAACACTGGAAAATGTTGCCTGGTCTGATGAGTCTCGATTTCTGCTGCGACATTCAGATGGTAGGGTCAGAATTTGGCGTAAACAACATAAAAGCATGGATCCATCCTGCCTTGTATCAACTGTTCAGGCTGGGGGTGGTGGTGTAATGGTGTGCGGGATCTTTTCTTGGCACACTTTGGGCTCCTTAGTACCAACTGAGCATCGTTTAAACGCCACAGCCTATCTGGGTATTGTTGCAGCCCCGTACTAGCAAGGTGTACCTAATAAAGTGGCAAGTGTAATAAATTGTACAGTAGCTCTACAGATCTGAATTGCAACGCTGTGTGCCTCAGTATAGGCATCCAGCAAAGTGAATGCAGTTGCTCAGAGTTGCAAACATAATGACAGCACAATGGACACAGTCTTCTCAAAACTTCTCTTTTTAAAAAGGACTAGTGATACACACAAAGTATCCAGTTTGACTAGAGGGTTAACACAGCAAAATTGCTCATTTAACTGCTGAACAGAATACTAAAATATATTTATGAAAACATCTGAGATGAGAAATAGGCAATGAAGTAACAGAATCTTGATTCATATTTGACTAACATGATCGACAGCTATGTTAGGGACTCCTTGGCTCTGATTGGTATTTTTCATTGTGCTGCAGTCTGATTCTAACAAATGCCATTAAGATGAGTAGGAAGAGGAGGAGGGACATGTTTTTTGTTTTTTTTTTCACAGACGTGGATATAGTGACAGTTTCAGCAAATATGACACAGTGTTATTTTCATAAAAGTTACCAACTGTATCTTTAACATCAATTAAAAATCTTGGTTTTCTTGAGCTTCAGTGGTTTCATTTCTCACCTTGCTGCAGGGTTGTAGAAGTGAACTCCATGATGTGTCAGCTCACCATGACATAATTACTGACTGTGGTTATAGGTGTAACACTTATGACTACACCAGCTACAGTCTCTCAGCTGCCCAGCAACCCTTATTAAATGGCCCAGTGTATGCTCAAAACTTAAATCTGTTCTCATTAATAATAACAGGTAAATGGAGTACATTTATATAACAATTTTCTTGCCGACCACTCAAAGTGCTTTACACTACAGGCAATACTCACCCCATTCACACACAGGTGGCCAAGGATATCATTCATGGTGCCACCATCTCATACATAATCACTCACACACACACACCTACTCAGAGCCATTGGGGTTCAGTATCTTGCCCAAGGACACTTTGACAACAGGGATGGAAGCACTGATCTCCGATGGTAGATGACTACTCTACCTCCTGAGCCACAGCTGCCCACATGCACACGACTAAACAAGGCTCTCTTTTTTGTCACTCATTTCTGCTTTAACAGAGAGGAGTTGATGATCAGTTCGTCCTTTGACTCCCTGGAGGTTCTCCTGGACTCGTTTGGGCCTGTCAGAGACTGCACCAAAGACAATGGAGGCTGCAGCCGCAACTTCCGCTGCATATCTGACCGGAAGCTGGACTCCACTGGATGTGTGGTGAGTCATCTTTCTTTTATAAAACTCTGACTGGGAGCTGCCATACATTAGCTTCAGCAGCAGAACTTGACCTTTCCCTTAGATTTCTATATAAATCAAACTCAGAGTACTCTACAGTAAACTACACAGTCTGCACAGATCCTTCTATGATTGATACAGTATGAGCTCATGACACTGAAAGGCATTACCTCAAACACTCGGCAGATAGGGATTTTTTGATGTGATGCCTACGTATATGGCCTCTTCACTATTAGTGCATTGTCTAATGTTATATGAATATTCTGCTATGACTATCAGTGTGAAGTCCATCTACCTTTATAAATATTTATATGAATATCTGCAGGCCAAGATGACCCATATCAAGGACAAGCATCAGACCTGCACTCCGTAATGTGTCTGAGTAGACAGTTTGACTTCGCCTCTTGTCTCATATGCCTCTTAGGCCGACAACGCATTCATTACCTCCAGGTGGTGCTTAGCAACTAGGAAATGTAGCAGCCAGGTTTGTTTTCGTCTCCATCTGTCGAGGACTCTAGCAATACCGTTCTAGTTATTTGCAGAATCTTAGCGCCGTCTGCTAGTGTTTTGCTTCTCCTAAATCCCCCCCTTCTATTGATAAGCTGTCATGCACCACCCCAACCCCCTCTCCAACAATTTAATTTCTTTTCAAGTACTTTGATGCACTTGAGTAGAGCCTTTCAGGTGGGCTGGGGAGATGCTATTTATGCAATCCAGTATGCTTCATCTTATCTCTTATAATGCACCTCTAGGAGAAGGAAACAGCTTGTGAGATGTTTTAATGGGAAAATGTTTCATTTGTAGATTAGAGTCTATGAATGTATTTCCAAGCAATAGTTTATGTATATGGTATGGTAGTGATAAGCACATATGAGTAAAAGTTATTTTGACAAGTGTTCAAAACACATGAAGCTCAATTACTTGTCACTGCTTTGCTCTGTCATCATCATCTGACTTTAATCAGTAAGTCTGTGAGTGAAGGCTACGTATAACAGATTCTGTACACTGTAGAACATCATTCAGGATTTTGAATAAACTACAAAGAGCCTGTTCGACTCATTACATTTAGAAGGAAACATGATCAGCATAGAAACAGACTTCCCAGCATGCATTCTTTAAGAGTAACGTCTCTCCAGAAACCCTTTGTTTTTGTAGTTTAAAGAAAACATACATGATGAAAATGTGATGTGTCTTTACTGCATGTTAAGATCAGTCATGGTTGTTTTTTTACAATGATGAAAAACAATATTTACCATGATAAATGTTAGATGTAGAGCTGACTCTTGGCTGAGAAAATGAAAGCAGATCTGTCTGACTGAAGAGTTGTTGATTGTAGTTAATAATATTGGCCTGTGGATTGATTTTAAATGGCCTGTGGCTTGTTGACCAGAATATTATTGGCCAACCACAAAATATTGTTTAATCAAGAAAGATCACTTTGCATTTTTGGAAGAACTAATGTGTATTCATAAACAGATAACAGTAAACAAGCAAACAAAAGTTACATAACAGCAGACATTTACTGCTAGGTAGCAGAAAGCAAAGTAGGGGTGTGGCAGTGGTTCATTTTGTGTTGTGTTAAAACCACTAAGTGCTAGAACGCAGTGCTTTAATCTGTCTGCCCAATCTCTAAAGCCTGATTTATGGTCCTGCGGCGTACCTACGACGTACCTACGTCGTTGCCGTGGCACCGTCGTGAACCCTTCGACCTTCTCCGTCACTCCATTTCGTTGCGGTGCAATTCACCGCCAGAGTGGTAGGAGGCTGCGTTCCTTTCCTGAATGGTTATCGTCGTCTCTAGTTGATTCTTTGTTTAGCTTCCGGCTTTTCCGGTCACAGTGAACAGTGGTGACCGAGAGAGAGAGAATCTTGCTGGAGTTGGAGTTGTTGGATGTCGAAGAAAGTATGTTAATACTGCAACATCTACATCGCAACAGAAGATGTTTAAAGATGGCGGGAATGGCGCAATCTGGAAATACGGAACCGGAAATGCGTTGCTACCAAGCAAACCAATCACAGCCTTCTCGGTCTGCGCTGGGTCTGCGTCGCCTCGACGTGTAGTTACATTTTTTGGGAGGTGCACGTCAGGCTACGCCGGGGGCTACGGCAAGCCTCCTGCGTAGCCACGTACCCTACGATGTAGGTACGTCATTGATTTAATGCAGGACCATAAATCAGGCATAAGACTGAGCCCAGCCACCCTACAGAAGAAACCAATAACAACCTACGTTGTCATTCTTTTGGTCACTACCCAAAGCTCATGACCATAGGTGAGGATCAGAACATGTAGGACTGGTAAGTTAAGAGCTTTCCCTTCTGGCACGCCTCGTACACCACAACAGTCCAGTACAATGCTTGCGTTACTGCTGACACTCCGCTAAACCACGTGTCAGTCTCATGCTCCATTTATCCTCACTTGTGAACAAGACACTTGAAGTGTTTCGTTAGGGGCGACAACTGCCTCTGTTCTAGAGGGAGAAATCCACCATTTTGTGGCTGACAGCCATGGCCTCAGACTTGAAGGGAATAACTCTCATACCAACCGCTTCACACTCAACTGCAAACCACTCCAGTGCGTGCTGAAGGTCACATTTTGATGAAGCCAACGGAACAATATCATCTGCTAAAAACAGAGACACAAATCTTGGGTCACCAAACTAGACATCCTCGTTCCCCCAGCTGCACCTTGAGATCCGGCTGTGCAGCTGTGCTTTAGGCTAAATGGTAACATCTGTATGGCAACATGCTCACAATCACAGTGTTAACAACTCCAATGTTTAGTTAATAATGTTTACATGTTTACCATCTTGGTTCAACGTCTTAGCATGCTAACATTTACTCCGAACACAAAATCTAGTCAAGGCTAATAGAAATGTCATTAGTTTTGTGATTATTTGTTTAAGTGTTGGGCCAACTGCAATTTTCAAAAGTCAGGTGACCAATAATGTTATAAGTATTTATTCTCTGCTGATCATAGATGTTTGTTCCAAATACCATGGCAGTACGTCCAAGAGTTGTTGAAATATTATATTCCAGTCTGAACTAATGTGGCAGACAAACATGCATATTAATAGATGAGTATCCCTTAAGCCACAGTTAAGTGTGTTAAAACTGCTTCACAACTGTTAACTGTAAAATTCAGCCCCCACAAGACCGTCTCTTTAAAGACTCTCTTTTTTGTCATTCTGTTGCTACTTCAGGTAGAATCTTGAACAGCTATAGTACAACTAAGCTTCATGAATCACCTGTTGGCACTTAGCTAATGCAATTATGCTTCTGAGCTTTTTGAAGGCTTGGTTGCACAGTTCACCCAAAAAAAAAAAAACAAATGCTAAGAAAAGCACCTTGTTTATTTCCTACAGGCTTGTAAATGTCACACACCAATGAATTAATGCTGCCTGAAAGTGCCAGCCTTTCACTGGCTGGTCTATCACAAATATCTTACTTGTCAGTCTAGCATGTTAGTAGGTAGAAATAGGACCCTGTGAATACTATCCACTATCTAAAATTGCTTTATCAGAAAGGAGTCCACTGACTTGCAACCACATTGCACTGGAATGTGAAAGACCAAAATATCCATCCACTTGTTCTTCTTGTATCAAGAGATGACAGAATGGAGATTCTGAACCAGGGCTTTGAAGTCTCATGGGCATTTGCTTATGTGCTACTTAGTTAACACATTCTCTTTTCCCCACTCTTCCCTCTTGAGGGATAGCACAATAAAAGTCTAGATATTTCGTAGTGATAGGCTTCCTTTACACATAATTACTGGATGCTTTTAAACAACAGCTTGTATTCTCCAGCATCTACAGTGTGGCTTCTTTATGTTGCAGTGTGTTGCAAATCCTTGCCAAAAGCGTCAGTAAAAATAAATAAATAAAAAAATAAATAAAAAAATCCAATTTCTTCTCCCTGAAATTAGTCTCACATGGATCCAAAAAGAAACAGTGAAAAGATTTCTTGCCAACGCTTTGAGGTGTCATGAGACTTTTCTTTTGTATTCTATTAATTATTTATTGTCGTGTTATATTCCCATCCCTGTGAGCATGTTGGAGAATACTGTGATATTTTTCTAAGAACATTTGTGAAAAAAAGAACAAAGTAAATGTCTGTACTTACTTACAGTACTTATCCTTTAATGTTTCTTTTTTTTTCCCCATCATTTTTGAACGTTTACTAAGCGCCACTGTAAACGCCAATGAAACAGAAATTCATCCAAAGAACACCTTTATGATTTCACACTTCAGTAGAGCCTCATTGAGAACGAGTTGGACAACATGTAAGACAAGATGGAAAAAGTGATGAGAGCATCACTGAGATTTTCAGAAAGACCTGTAAATACCTTTTAGAATAGGTTAGCTATAAAATACATTTCATGTAGAACAAGGAAGCTCAAATAAATGCTGTGGGAAACATTTTCCAAGTTTTGTTATTTGAAAGTAAAAGATCGATCAGTCGCAATCTGTTACAAATGAAATCTATTTAGTGTCTGTATAAGCATGAATGGGCTATTACTTTGATCTACTGCATGGTACACCTACCATATCAGAACATGGCAAATGTTCTTCATTAACCTAATGTAAAGGAACAATGAATTCTATGCCTTGTTTATGACTTTGTGCATGTTGATTATCAAACAGACTTACCTGTCTGCTACTAGTCCTGTTGCCCCGTGCACTTTGCAAGTCAACAACTATGCCTATTACTTGTATAAATGCATTTAAAGTAGGGCTGTTGATCAATTGGCTTTGATTAATTGTGAGTTATTGCTTTTTATGCCTCTGCACCGATATCAGCCACGGCGGGAAGCATCATGTTTGTAGGTGGTCCAGCCATCTCATTCTCATGCCCGACATGTCAATAACCCCTTGAGGGAATTTCTTCAAATTTGGCACAAACAAGGGTGAGCTCATTAGAATTTGGTAGTCAAAGGTCACTGTGACCTATGTTTTCGGTCATACCTCAATAATTCATACGCTCAT